ACTTCAGAAGCACGCTTCCTCATCCCTTCCGTTCTTCACCGCTCCCTCCCTCCTCAAGATTTACGTTATTTAGTCAATCGACAAAGGATCTACGCCATTTAATCCTTATATCTACCTATCCTAACCCCCCTCCCTTGCCTCGAACGAAAAAGTCCGAAAAATCTCGACAACGGAACTTACGATGATTTCCAATGTGAATTGTATGAATGTAAATTCTTCCGGCATGGCACATCAACAAATGCGATATCAACTTCTGGCTGACATTTGGCTCCACTTCTTTTGGCATATGAACATTTTGCTTCAGCACCTATAAAAAGAAAATCAGAACGGTGAGTGGGAACTATTCGAAGTACCAAACTACAGCACGGTTGTAGAAAAATTCAAAATTCTTTTCTTGCAAAATTCTTTTCTTTCTTTTTAAATTTGGCATTTTTTTTCTTGACCTTATTTGATTCATAAATCGGCAATTTTTGCTACTTTCATACGCAAATTTCAACTTTGCAACTGTTTTTTTTTTGTTTCAAAATAGAAATTAGTCAAATATTACACTAGTAATCGAAAAAATACTGAAAAGCGGAGAAGTTCAGGAAAAAAAACCGAAAAAAGGCGAACCTCAAGCATAACATTTCGGCCGCCAAGAAGAAACGATGTAAGGCAAACAGATGGCCGGCTGTTAACGCTCGCTGGAGTTATCGGAAGTGCTGAGATACATCGCGGAAACTGAAAAAAAAAAGCCAGAAAAGCTGAGCAAAAGAATCTTTTGCTACATGAATATGACCTGAAAACGCTTAATTATCGCTCAGTCTAATATCTGTTTTCGTTTTCTTCATGCAGGATCAAAAAGAGACGCTAGAAAATCTCGCCAAAATATTAGAAAATCTCGAAAATCTCTTTAAAATCTAGAAAATCTCTTTAGAAGCGCCAAGATTCCAATAGGCCAAGTAATGGCAAATTCTAGCCAGAAGTCCCCCGCTTATAGAAAAATCGGACATTCTGTTTCCCGAAAATTACCTCAAAGCTAAATAAAGGCGATTATAGCTGCTGTAGCAAATCTCCAGTACCAGAGTACCACTGATCCGACCCCAAAAATCTTCCACTCACTCGCCAATCCAATATATTAGGGGTAGTGCAAATGTCAAGTGTAGAGTTAGATCTGTAGGAAGGCATGCTTGGCGCATCTGGGTTGATAATCTGTGATTCTGACTAACGATGAATATATGCTGTTGTATCAGTGTGTGTGTGAGCGTATGCCTGTGTATGTGTGTGTGTGTGTGTGTGTGTGTGTGTGTGTGTGTGTGTAATACAGTTGCTTTAACTCGGCTGGATCGTCGCGTCAAGATCGGCTCACAGTCGCTTTTCCAGTGTATAATCTTCGTTCCCACACCCCGTTAAACAAAGCCCCTTTCCACCTCTTCGTTTCTGGTTCAGATAATTTTACGCGTCGGGAACAACGACAATATTTCAAAATGGCAAGAGATTTGCCACTGAACCGTGGTTGTACAAAATATCACGTTTCTTAATATAAATCATGATTATACAAAGAAGTGCGGATAAAAACCAACATAATTCCAACGATTTTTTGCCGACGGTGTTGTCCAGGAGA